CGTTATAGTCATTTTAAATTTAAAAAGAATAAAATGAAAGAAATGATGAAGATTGAAAATGCTTATGGGTTTTTTAGTCGCCACCCGGTATAATTATTCTACATGTTAAGTAATAATTCACGGGAAAAATATTTGTTCATCCTTTAGAAGCTCGTTAATTAACGAGAAGAAAGTGACAGAAGGTTTGTTGAAACACGAAGGAAACTGCAATGATGATAATCATCTGTTCGCACCGGACGTTCGCGTGTCGAGTTTCGCAGTGGTACATTGTGTTTCCTTATTTAAGGGTAGATTTATCTGATCGAATACAATGGCTGATCGACAATACACAGCTGCCGTCTCTTCTTTTGTTTCGGGGATGATTCCACGATAAATAATTTCTCTAAGTACTGTATTACAATTCTGAGAACGAAACCGTATGAATAATTTTTAGATTGCACAATGTGAATCATCGCTCAGGTTCAATNGTTTTACCAAATAATTATAAATCAATTACACCTTAAATCTCATATCTACACAACATCTACAATTCTGATTATGATTAGTCTAGATTTAGGATCCACCATGAATCACGTTATAACACAATCATATTTAAACGTGCCTGTTTAATCAGATTTATCGCAGAATTACAGAATTCTAAATTCCTAATTCAGAATTCCTAATTTCTAATAACATAATTTACAAGGTTGGTCAATAAGAAAATATATCAATTGCTCGACAAAATATTTTATTAATCACTCGCAGCTTAGAATCGTCACAACATTTACAATTCTACTGAGAATTAGTCTAAATATTCAGGACCCACCTCGGACCACGTCAAGTTACAAATTATAATACAATCATACTTAAATACAGCTGTTTAAAATTAAATTTACTGCAAAGCGAGGATGTATCTAGAATCGCCAGCAGGCACCTGATAGTTGCTAGTATACGTGGCGTAGGAAGATCCAACCGGGGCGGGGGACAACGGGAGGACTCCCGCGGGATTGTCGATCTGGTATTGGACTTGGGTAGCGACCGGCTGTATTTCGAGTTTCTGCGGTTTCGACTCGACGGCCGTCGTCGCGGGAGCGACGGACACTTGAAGACCAGCTGGGAGGATCTGCAGCTTCTGCAGGGGCGCGTAAGCGTAGATCGGTCCTCGGAGAGGTTCCACATTTTCGGCACGGATTTTCGCGAAGTATTTCATCGCCTCGATGTTCTGACGGCTGACGTAACGGATCCGTTGCAGGCGGCCGTCGGGCAGGGCTACGTAGTATTCGCCGGACTGTTGCGGCTGCTGTTCGTCCAGTTCCTCGTCTTCAAGCTCGTTCACAGAGTTTACGGGCTCGGACTGAACAATTCAATTAATAATTTATGGCAATATTAAAATGGAAGGATTAATAAAAAATTAGGTGAAACAGCAGAACGTAGGAAATTCATACACGAGTCTGCTCTGTTATTTAACCAGTTAAATGTGTTTGACGACTATATCCGTCATGGAAGAATGGCAGAATT